ATTTAATCCAAAATAAGGTTCTCGAATGGCATTATTATTATCATCCAAATTTCACCCACTCATTTGAGCATCAGTTAATATTTCTTGCCTGGATTGATTACTACTATGAGGGTTGCCAGATTGTACCTTTCTAATTCCAACATGCTTTTTACATTTGTTAGTTATCACAGGAAGATATTTCTATTCTTCTGTTTATTCATTTTTATGCAAGTGGACTCATGGATTCCTGTTATTTGATGAAATATATCTATAAATTATTTCCTTTTCCTCTTATTTCCCTCCTCCCTCCCTCCCTCCCTCCCTCCCTCCCTTCCTTCCTTCCATCCTTTTGATACTCAAAATATCTTTCTGATGCTCAAATTATTTACTTTGTTTTAAAATTGTCCAGATAGGAGCAGTAGGAGCCCTCTAAAGACTGGCCCCTATGTCATTCTGACATGACACCATCGTTCTTTGAGCACTTATTTACTTTCCTGGGCAGCAAAATGTTCCAGGCTCGTATTGTGCTTTCTGTGACCCAGCTCTAGGATCAGCCTTTCTCCAAAGAGTCCTGGTTTTATTCAGTAGAGAAACTAAGATCTGAACTGTAAGGGGACTCATTTCTTCTGGGTATAATCCTTCTCTGGACCATCTTCAGTGGATGGTAGGAACCACCTGTATATTGAGCATATACACAATTCCATCTAGATTTATTTCTGTATCTATCTCTATATACTGAAAACCACAAGTGCACACTTATAGATTAAATTCTAATCCAAACCCATAGGATCCGTTCAAGATCTCCCTCTTTTCATTTGCACCCTCCTTTCCTGACAATGTGAACCTGGCTCCCACTATCATCAATCTATTTATTTATTTGCTCAATCAATCTGTATTGTAGTCAGTCTCCCTGCCGTGCCAGATGGGTATGTGCTTGGCTGTCCTTACTGCAGGCACCAAGCACCACTGGGCTCACTCCTGGCTCACTCTAACACACTGCTTGCTTGGGCCCGACCCCACCAGGGCGAATTCTTTAGGAAGGTTTGGTAAACAGTAGAGATTAGTAGACACTTGGCACAATATTCCAAGGTTACTTTGAAAGGAAAAGCCTAAATGGTTTTTAGCATCTTTACAGCATTCTACCAGCCTTTCTCAACCTCCCAAACTTCCCAACTTTAAAATAAGTATAAATAGAGACATCTTGTATGCATGTCGTTTTAGAAATGTAAAATATTCAGCCCTGTTGCCTGTTTGCTTTTCTTGTCCCATCAAGTTACCATTGTAATTTACAGCAACTTAGATTGGCATTTTAATGTCAAAACAAATAGCAGCATGCTTTTCACTAATGTATATATGAGTTAAAATTTTAAAACCTTGAAAACGCATGTGTTTCTTTTGTCAACAAGAATAACTAAATGCTGAAAGGACTTCAAATCAGGTATAAAGTTTTTATATGCCAAGTCTTGAAATGGAAATCTCAAACATGCCAGTAAGGTAACATAATTATAATGACCCAGTTCACTGATAGATGCAATTGAGAATGACACAATTACAATTCACTGTGGGTATTACAACATATCGTCAGATCACCAGTAACTACAACCCATGTATAAACATTGTATTTTTTATTTCAAATTCATAGGTATAATAAATTTAAAAGTCTAAGCCAAAACAAGCAAAAGTTTACTTTTTTACTGTTTTTAATTTTTATAATAACTTGGCCACTTTTAGTTGAGTTTAACCCTCTATCCATTTTATATCTATTCATTTCTGACCCTCAAAATCCCAGCTGCAAATTTTTTTCTCCAAACAATCCTGCTGTTAATCTACTAAGTAGGTTAAATCCTAAGCTTTAGTCACTGAAAGTATCACAGACACTATTACATTAAGATTTTTTACTGAAATTATATTTGTACATACAGGGAACAATAACAGAAATAAATAATAATATGCTGTCCTCCATTTCAAGCATAGGAGGGTGTTAGAGCACCTGGAATTTCAGTACCAGAGACTCAACATCTTTAACCCATTGCTAACTATAAGGGAGTGGTCAACATTCTACTAGTACAGTTCTCTTAAAAATGTGTAGGCTTCCTATGAATGCTGTTTAGCTTTACTTCATTAAACAAAAGCCATATCCACACTTTCATAAAGTTAAGCTCTTTTTCACATTGGGCTTCCGCTGACATGCTGAGGGGAAAATGTCCATAAGATTATTAGAACCATTATTGTTTAACTCAGAGGCTCTGTAAGACATACCAGTAAGCTGGCTAGAAGTTAATTTGTCTGAATGAATGGTTCTTGGAGGCACCATCTAAGACATTTCTGAGGTCTTAATATGGATTTTATAGCCACACCTCATTATCATCTTTAGATCATGTTTTCCTGGTAGTAGAAATTTGCCATGAAGTGATTTCTTAATTTTTTTGCATTCAACATCTGGAGAGACTGAAATTAAGAAAATATTTTATTTTCAAATCCATCAAGACCTAGCTTCCTTATATTGAACAGTTTGTCTTTAGTTTTTCTCTCTTCTTTTTTCCTTTTACTATAAACAAAGAGAAGACGCCAGAGTACTCTGTGTGGAAATGTCCTTAGCTAGATTATGCAGTTCATTAAGTACAGTGTTTTCCTTTCCACATTATCACAGTTTTGCTAAACTTTCCACTGCAACATAGCAATGATCCAGTTTTCTTCCATTTCCAGTAACATTGCTTCCTCACCTTCCTTTCAGTTATTACTGACAACCTCTTCATGAGCCATGAGGCTCCATGTCTACATTATAATGGACATGTAGTAGTTTGTACTATAATTATCTTCTCCTAGAATGTATCCTGTGTAGAAAATGAAAGGAATTGACAATTTCAAACTCCAGAATTCATCAGGGCCAAACAACATTGTTATGAGTGACTGATGAAGTCTTGTTTTATGAACTTAACTATACCCATTTGATAGTGATCTGTGTGTTATGCAGCTGCCTTGCTTCTGAGAAGGTCTTGTTCTCACAATAGATTTACCCATTTTGGAATACTTCAAAGCAAGTGTGGATATTTAGAGACTCCCAAGTATTCAAAAAACAGAATCATATGATTGTCTTGTTAAGAATAGTCAGTAAAGTTACAGCTGGATGTTTTCTCTTTGCTAAGTTTAGACATTAAACTCCATTCAATTTTATCTTGATTAGACAGAGTGAAAATCATATGTATGCATATAGCTAGTCTAAATAGACCACTTAGCTAAGATCAGCAATTTTCTGAGAGGATTAAGTCAATGCAAATGCAAAAAAAAAAAAAAAAAAAAAAAGTGACTCAGAAAAGAGAAAAGAAAAAAAAAAGCCACATGTTTGACATTGAAATAGAGCCTTATTTATTTTTAAGCCAAGAAATTAAGTATAATCATATTTTTACATATTACTATGTTGATAGGAAATGATTGTATATACTTCTGTGATTAATCCTTAAAGAGGATTCAATTGATAATTATTAGATTTTAATTACTGTAACCCATTAATAAAGGGAGAAGGAGATTTCTATTGTTCTAAACTACTATTACTAGTCAAACAGAAGAGGACATTTAAAAAAAAATCACTTAATGGGAACTTCCCTGGTGGTCCAGTGGGTAGGACTCCGTACTCGGTGGTCCAGTGGGTAGGACTCCACACTCCCAATGCAGGGGGCCCGAGTTTGATCCCTGGTGGGGAAACTAGATCCCGTATGCATGCTACAACTAAGAGTTCGCGTGCCACAACTAAGAAGCCCACATGCCGCAAGTTGAGATCCCGCATGCCACAACTAAGACCCGGTGCAGCGAAAATAAATAAATTAATTAAATAAAATAAATATTTAAAATAAAATAAAAAATCACTTAATGGTCATTTTTTGGACAATGTTTTTATTGAAAGTTCCCTTTTATCCAATTAATGGCACATCCTGATACCAACCCATTTTGTATAAATTGTTTTTTTGCTATAGATATAATATTAGATTGAAAAGAATGTGTGAATAACTTAAGATTTTTAAGCAGACAAATTACTACAGTTTAAATTTGCTCTGATAGGTGAAGTTCATTTGGGGGACTTTGTGGAGATATTTAATGTGATCAGGAAATTTTATTCCATATGGCCTACAGATTTTCTATGCATAATATGAATTATGATTTTTTCTATTGAAAAGTATAAAGGCAACTTATTTGTGGTGCTATTTTAAAGTTACTTTGCAATAAAATTTTTAAAATTATCTGATCTCAACCTTAGTATATGTATATCCTACTCTGTAATAGAACCAGTAGTTGCTAACCCTAATAGAAACTTTCTTTTTTTGTTTTGTTATTCATTCTTTTAAGCTTTTAGTTTCACTTCTTATCACTTATGCTACCTATACCATGTTAGGTACCTTATATGAGATGAATATTCAGAGCAAGGTGGCTGACCCTTATGCCTAAATTTATCTCTTTATGTTTCTTTGGGTTTTATAAATTGGGAAATCATTTGTAATGCAAATGTCTCTTTGGATTGAATTAGATATTAAACTATAAAAGAAACCCACCTTAGTTGATAATAGTAAGTTTAGCTTCTTGACATCTGAATAACAGACCTCTGAGGAATTAAGAGAATAACAGTAAATATTAAAGACATAAAAGGAAGGAGCTTGGATAGTTGGGAAAGGTCTAAAATTTTACATCCTGATCTCTGAAGACAGGGTCAGATGAAGAAGTATAGCCGTGAGCAGATGGACAGAGATGTGACAGAGTGAAAAAGAAGATGTCAAAAGAGAAAATATGAAGGATGCTTCATAGACATAGACCAGAGGCAAACATTTGCCTAGGTTCAACCCTTAACAGCTTCCCCTGAAATAATACCGTTTTCTCAAAAGACTTCATTCTTCCACGCTGAGTACAACAGCAAGGATCAGTGAAACACAGTAGTTGGATACGATGGCTGTGGTCAGGGAAAACACCCAGAGGAATTTTAGTGAAGCATGCTGGACACAGAATTCAACATTCCCATTTTTTCTCTCTCACAGGTTATCTGAACCAGATGAATAACTCAAGTCACTCTGTCCTTCAGCCTTCATTCCAAGGATGCATGCAGCTCATTCAAGTGGATGATCAACTTGTAAATTTATACGAAGTGGCACAAAGGAGGCCAGGAAGTTTTGCAAATGTCAGCATTGATATGTGTGCCATCATAGACAGGTAAACGGTCTTTCATCCTTCCTCGAATTGTTCAAATTTTCAAAGTTCATTTTTTTGTTGTAGGACAAGTGAAACACCCGAACACACAACCCTGTAAGGGGTAAGGAGACAGGAGCCATTTGCCGTGCCTGTGGCTTTTGTTTGTGATGTTAGCAGTGATGTTTATATCAGGACATGGTTGTATATGACAGAACAATATGTGATGTCACATTAACCCATTTCAGCCTCCCTTGGTGAATGTGAGCATTATGCATGTAGTTTTGCAAGCAGCAGCTGGAAAAGGAACTTAGTTTATTTTTAGTTTTGCTTCTGATGCCCACAGCAGAAATGCCCCTCTTCTTCTTGTCTTGGTCATGACTCATCCTCAGTATATGGTTCCCTCTAAAGGCCCCTCTTGAAGGAAAAGAAACATTAAAATGTGTTGGCAGGCAGTATGGGGATTTACTGAAGTAGAATATTTAATGTAGTTGAGTCTGCTTACAAAACAGACATACTGAAATATTATTACAAGATCTCATCTTTGTCAGTTTTTGCAAGTCTGGGGAGAAACTTTTTGTAAAAACTTAGTTGACCTCTCACATGGTGGAAAGATACAACCTTTATATGAAATATTATGACAGCATTACATATACTACCTTAACATACTTCTAAAAAGTGCCTTTCGTTCCAACTTGAAAAAATTTCATTTTGAGATGTTTTGCCCACAAACAAACTACATCTAATTTTGAGTTGAATTTAACCCAGTGAATTTAGGTGATATTCTGTCCTATTTTCAAATCTTTAATGAGAGGCCTATGTTATTCTGAAAAGAATTTTATTAATTTTATATTTTGAAGATAAAAGTTCTAGAAGTCTCAGCCAGCCCCCAGTAAAGTACAGACCTTAAGTCTCTAATAATCTTAATTCATTTAAGAGGGGATCCTTGGGGAAGTCATCCAAAGACATATAATGAATCTTAAAAATATACAAAAATCATCCATTATGAAATAAGCTTGCTTCCATATAATCTTAATAAAGTAGTATTCACATGAATGGTAAATTACAGTTTATGATGTCTGTAGAATGTACCTTTTTAAAACTTTAATATGTTTATAATAGAACATAACATAGTGCTTATTTTTATTACATATATGCAGATATGGGTCCTGATAGCCTAAACAGTTTATATTTAAACAGAACAGCAAACAATTTTAATAAAAATATACTCCTAATTTTTGAACCATCAATAATGTAATAGCTGGTATTTCTGCCTAAAGCAAGTGGTGGCAATAATCACAAAAACTGAGAGATGAATGTTTTAAGATAATATATTCTGATATTAGATGTGTATTCATAAATTTTAATAATGGTTTTCCATAGAGGAAGACTTTCCTTCTTAGTAATAGTATATTGAGTCATTTTAGTACCTTGTTCATTTTTCATGTCAGTAACTTTAATGATACAATAATTTCTGTCAATAATACCCAAGTTAGTTCATCCAGCTTTCGTAAACTGCTAGATTTTATGGTGATGTTGCTATTTCACTTCAAACCGCATGTTTCCTGGGCATTAAATTTAAATTGTTTGCTACCAAAGAAGTGCGGATGAGGTGTTGAGATTTTACTTTTTTACCCCCATGGCGAGATTGGGAGTTAAAATATCTCCAGAAGAAGATTTTGGTAAACGAACCAGGCACTCCTGGTAAGGAGAACAACACAAGAGACGATGTAGAATAGGGGTTGCAAATTTCAATTTTTGGCAGGTAGAGAAATATACAAAATAGTTTTTTTGCCAAAATGGCGTCATGCAACTGTCTGTGTTGCCAAGTATCCTGTAGCTGACAGAACAAGGAATATGTCTTTCTTATCCTCCAGGGTGATAACCCAGAAGAATGGCTACAGGGAAGTAGTCACCGCTGATGCATCACAAACTTCCTAAATCCACTACTGAATACGTTTTCTGCTTGTCTTACTTTTTGAGCACAGTGACTTCTTTTTTTGGTATAATTGACACATAACATAGTATTCCTTTCAGGTGTGCAATGTGATGATTTGATATTTACATATATTTTGAAATGATCACCAGGGCAATGATTTCTGCACATTAATTACCAATGTGTGAAATAGCAGATTCCTTTATTCACCCAAAATGTGCCCAGTTCAGAATCTTAATCTGTGAAGTGCTGTGGTTTTGCATGTATGATACAGGGCTGTATTCACCTTATTCAAACCGTTGAGGGGCTCATTGATGAGCTCACCCTTAATCTGTGTCTTTGCATATGAGAGTACCAGTGACGTTACCCTGTCCTCACATAGCTGTGACCCATCAGATAACATTTTAATGATACATCCCTAGCTCTTCTCTGGTTTGATCTTTTCCTCCTCACTGACTGAAACTTTGTAACTGCCTGATCTCTACCATTTTATTTTCAGACTACCTAAATTCTCCCTAAGCAAGCCTACACTGTCTCTTTCTTACTTTTATCCTTTCAAATTTCAGCTTGATTGATTTGAGAGCTATTTTTGAAAAAATTTAAAGAGCATAAATGAAAATATAGGGTAAAAAAATAGAAATCACAGGCATGATTTTTATAAAATGTTTAGAGATTATAGGAGCAGCTGCAATGATTTTATGAGTAGAACTTAGGGAAATAGTTAGGGAAGATGATTCTAAAGGAGTCTTGCTATGTGTCATACTGAAATATCCTATGAGTTGAACTTCTTTTTCTTTTTTTGGGTGTGGATTTACATGTGCCTTGTTTTGTTTATTTGTTTGCTTTCTGAACACAGCACTGAATCAAGGAAAGAGCAAGCATGCCAAGCTATAGAATTATTTGTTCAGTAGTATTTTCTGAGTGCATCCATGGTGTCAGACACTGTTCTAGGCACTTAGGATAAATCATTGAACAACACAGACAAAGATCCTTGCACCTGCGAAGCTCACATTCTGGGGGAAGGGGAGGAAGCACAGACGTGATAAATAAATATTATAGTAAGTTAGAAGGAATAAGTGCTATAAGAAAAGAAAGAAAAAAAGTTGAGCAAATCAAGGAGGACGGGCATTTCAACAGATTGGTGTTGAGTTGCTGTTTAAATAGGTTGGTCAGAGTTAGCCTCAATTATTAGTTTAAGACCTGAAAGAGTAATAGAATTCACCAATTTGGGGAAAGAGCATCACAGGCTGAGAGAACAGTCAATGCAACAAGGCTGCCTGGTATCATCTAGGGTTAGCAGGGGGCCAGGGTGGCAAGTTTGGAAGGACGAGGAGCAGAGCCGCATAAGAGGAGGCCAGAGCAATCCTAGAGGCCAGGGCCTGGAGACCTGTAGGTAACTGTAAGGATCTGGCTTTTATTGTGAGAGAACGAGGGAGTCATTGCAGGTTTCTGAGTAGAGCAGTGGCATGCTTTAGCTTACATTTGTAAAGGATAACCCTGGCTGTGGGAGGACGAAAGGTAGAAGCTGGGAGCCTGTCATAGTAATCCAGGTGAGAGGTGCTGGTGGCCTAAGACTGGGCTGCTGTTAGCACAAGAGGTAGTATCATGTGGTCAATTCTGAATATACTGAGAAGGGTTGGTCAGTAGGGTTTCTTAATGGATTGGTTTCGAGGCATGAGAGGAAGAGAAGTTATAAGGATAAACCGAAATGATTTGGTAATAGCAACTGGAAGGAAGGAGTTACCATGTCCTCCAATGGGAAGGCTAGTGGTAGAGAAGACTAGTCATGGGGTGGAAGAAAAAAATCAGGAATTCACTGTTGGGCATGAGTTGAAAGAAAGGTCTGTTGGGCATCTAAGTGGACATTTCAAGAAGGCAGTTGGATACATGTATCATACAAGCACACATCTGCAGGTTAAACAATGAGGTGGTGTGTCTGACAAAATGTTGTGCTTATCTATTGAAGACCTCTGGTTTCTTCAGCTGTATTTCATAAACAGCAGAAGAAATGGAAAGGGAGAGGGTGAGTAGTGGGCAGGAAGCCTCTTCCAATGTCAGGAGCCTGTAGCCTTACCCTTCGAGTGAGACCCTGCTCTTAGGGAGGAGGACTTCATCAAACCCTCAGTTGCTAGAATATTCTCCGTAAACAGTAAGATATCTAGCAGATAATCTCCTTGTTTCACCTTGCATGAGTACCATTTTTTATCTGCTCCTTTGCGCCCTCACATTGTTGGTTCCCTGTGGCAAACATCTTCAGGCACCAGACTCAACTCCTGTCCTCGACCCACTTCTCTCTATCCTCTTTCTGGGTGTGAAAATCTGAGAGGCAAAAGCCTGCAAAAACACTCCTATAACTAAAGTTAGGTTTATTTACTTCCTCCTGCAAGTGGGAACCAAAAGAGAACCAAGGATCTTCTCAGAGGGAGGTGGGGAGAGGAAGGGAGTGAGGAAAGGGTATCGGGGCTCTGAGTCAGTCCTGGGAGGGTCCTGGCAGGTACTGGTCATAATTTATAAACTAGGAGAGTTGCTGCAGTAGAGGGTAGAATTTGTGAATCCCTGCAGAGCTCTTGCTTGTTTGTCTGTGATTCTGATTCACGTCACATGGAATGGAAAAGCTGGTGTTAAAATATTTTGAGCTGAAGTAAGTGGTGTTCATGACTGGTTTGGCAATTTTTTTTCTGTTTTGTGAGTAACAGTAAAGTCCGTTTTGCTATCTGTGACTTACATCAATCCTAAGATCACCCTCGTAGATTAGCTGCCAGGGAGAGATTTTTTTTCTTTGTCATCTGCAGTGATGATGTGACACAGTCCTGGCTAATGAGAGGTATGCAGAAGTCAGCTAAGGTGTTCTGAGAAAACTTTTATTTTTCTGATACAGAGGTCCCCTGTTACTCTCCACCGTCCTTGTTCAAATGCAGACACCATGCCTGGAGCTGTATGATCAAGAAAACCTGAGCTCCAGTGAACCTCAGTCAGCAACCACCTTCACTCCTTTTTGTGTGAGGAAAAAAAGCAATCCTTGTTTATTTAAGTCACTGTGAGTCAAATATTATTTTTCTTGGAGTTGAAAGCACCTGTCCTTTTTTCA